CACCCATAGAAGGTCAGGACGGTCTCTTCCTGCGCCTCCCCACCATCTGCATTGTCCAACTGGCCAGGTACATTATGGGCTTTTCCTCTCTGTTCACTGAATCGCCTGGTATTGCCCATACTTGGAGGCAGGAGAGCGGACTTAATGGCCAGTTCTGATCCTGTACTGCACAGACCGCCTTCCCGGGTTTCTTAATCATTCCTTCCGCACCTCCGTCGCCAGAGTGGGATTAGGGTTCTGAGGAGCGCAGCTTTGCCAGGAAGGCAGGATTCCTTCTGGATCAGCCACAGAAACCTCACACCTGCCTGTTCCTGCACTTCCCACTTGCCTTCTGCTTCCTGCCAGCCGAGTAATCCTCCCCTCTTTTAGCCAATGTTTCCTGCTCCTTAAACCATTTATCTATAGACACGCAACTCCGGCTGATAATAAAGGTAAATCCAACTGCTGAAAGAGGCAGATGGGGGAGGGAACGGGGGAGGGCAGCTTTAATGATGATTTAACTCAGACTGTGAGCTGTTGCTGGGTATTTTCCACCCATTCAAAAGAAGCTGAGCAAGTGTAGAGATGCCAAGAAAACCGGAGACCCAACAAAAGTCAGGGGGTTTGGGGCCCAGTCTGAGGGTTGATTTGTTTGGGGCAGAAGGCAGGGGCTTGCATTACTCCTCTGGGTTATCACACTGGGGTTCAGTCCAGCCGAGACACACAGGAGCCTCAGAATTTGGCCTTTCCTTATCTTCCCCTCTGCTGGTGGCTGGGACTGACTGCAGGGATCTCCCTCCGCCTGTGGGTGGGAGCCCCCAGCTGTCTTCAACGCTGGACACCAATGCCGCGACAGGAGGCTGCAGTCTCCCCAAATGACAGTCTCCTCAACAGCGCCACCGACCCAAGTTCCGCCAACGACATACCCAGAGGCTCTTGTGCAGCAGCCCGCAGTGCTGTCACCAAGGGGTCAATGATTTGAGGCACCTCCATGTATGGGCTGCCCAGCGTTAAGCACACTGCGGACCTGGCTTTCAGAAGCCCTGACCGCCCACAGCTCTAACTGAAGCCAACGGGAGTGGCAAGTGCGCAGCACCTCCGCTAAAAAAATAAATCAAGCCCGGGCATCTCAAGCTGGCCTCTTCGAATCAGTGCTGGCTGAGCCCAACACAAGATACTCCCGTGAACAGGTTCCTATGCTGGACCCAGCCCGGCCATGGGGAGTCCAGCTGTCAAGTAAGGAGAGAGAGAGACCGGCAGAAAGAAGAGCAGCAGGAACAGCGAGGATAGGTGAGCCCAAGCACGAGGAGGGTGGAGAGCAGCATGCTGGAGTGGAAGGGAGAGAATGAGAAGCAGAGGAGGAAGAGAGAGGAAGAGATGGAGAAGACAACAGAGGGAAGGGAACGAGTCCAGTGGAAAGGTTCCCGTACAGCCGGAGGACTCTTGGCAGGTTCACTCCACGCTCCTCCTCACGCCCCTCCTCTACTTGTGCTACATTGATGACATCTTCATTATATAGACCCACGGGAAGGAGGCCCTTGAAGAATTCCTGGATTTCAACAATTTCCACTCCATCATCAACCTCAGCCTGGACCAGTCCACGCAAGAGATCCACTTCCTGGACACTACAGTGCAAATAAGTGATGGTCACATAACCACCACCCTATACCGGAAACCTACTGACCGCTATTCTTACCGACATGCCTTCAGGTTCCATCCAGGACACATCACACGATCCATTGTCTACAGCCAAGCCCTAAGATACAACTGCATTTGCTCCAATCCTACAAGATCTTTATCAAGCATTCTTAAAACTACAATACCCACCTGGGGAAGTGAGGAAACGGATTGACAGAGTGAGATGGATACCCAGAAGTCACCTACTACAGGACAGGCCCGAAAGGGAAAATAACAGAACACCACTGGCCATCACGTACAGCCCCCAGATAAAACCTCTCCAGCACATCATCAGCGATCTACAACCTATCCTGGAAAACGATCCCCCACTCTCACAGACCTTGGGAGGCAGGCCAGTCCTCGCTTACAGACAGCCCCCTAACTTGAAGCAAATACTCACCAGCAACTACACACCACACCACAGAAACACTAATCCAGAAACCAATCCCTGTAACAAACCCCTTTGCCTACTCTGTCCCCATATCTACTCTAGCGACACCATCATAGGACCTAGTCGCATCATCAGGTGCTCATTCATCTGCACATCTACTAATGTGAAATATGCCATCATGTGCCAGCAATGCCCCTCTGCCAAACCGGACAGTCTCTACATAAAAGAATAAATGGACACAAATCGGACATCAGGAATGGTAACACACAAAAGCCAGTAGGAGAGCACTTCAATCTCCCTGGACATTTAATAACAGATTTAAAAGTAGCCATCCTTCAACAAAAAAACTTCAAAAACAGACTTCAAAGAGAAGCTGCAGAAGTATAATTCATTTGCAAACTTAACACCATTAATTTGGGCTTGAATAGGGACTGGGAGTGGCTGGCTCACTACAAAAGCAATTTTCCCTCTCTTGGTATTGACAACTCCTCATCAATTATTGGGAATGGACCACATCCACCCTGACTGAATTGGCCTTGTCATCAGTGGTTCTCCACTTGTACGGTAACTCCATTCTCTTCATGTGCTTGTATATTTATGCTCGTGTCTGTGATTTTCACTCCCTGCATCTGAAGAAGGGGGTTTTTTACCCATGAAAGCTTATGCCCAAATAAATCTGTTAGTCTTTAAGGTGCCACCGGACTCCTAGTTGTTTTTGTGGATACAGACTAACATGGCTACCCCCGATACTAAGCAGTGATGTGTATCGCCTGGGCGTGGAGCCCCCCGACCAGTCTTAATCTCCACGCCAGCTCTCACAGAACAAGGAGGGCCTTCAGTCTGGAGGAAGTTGGCCAGGCTCAGACACTTTCAACACGAGGCTGGCACTGTGGCCAGATCCAGCGCACAGCCGCTAAACTTGAAGAAGAGAAATGACTAGCACGGTAGATAGCGTCTCAGCCTCCATGCTGGTCACAAGGGGGAGATCACAAGCGCGAGAGCATGAGCCTCTAGAGCTTGAGGTAAAGGGCCAGTCCTGCAGCTGGGCACTGTAAAGGACTCATTTCTTCTGTGGACCGGGCACAGAGGGGAGGCCTAACATTGAACGGCGGGTTACAATAGCACATTCCCAGCCTTAAAAAATCCTCATGGCTCCCCTGAGAAGTTCACCTGCATCATCCCCATTTTAAACAGGCGCAGCAGGGAAGGGACTCACCCACGTTCACACCGTGAGTCACAGTGGGAGACAGAAAAGCAACTCCCAACTCCTAACGCTCCGCTCTAACCACCAGACACACACTGAGTCAGAACCAGGATCAGAACTCAGGAGGTCCCGGCTCAACCCACTAAACCACACTGTTCTTTTGGAATCTGGCACCAGGTGGGTAAAATTCAAGTGGAAACTCGAAGGATAAAAGCTGCTACGTGGGCTTTTGCAGCCAGGGAAGCCGGGAGAGAAAGAGCAAACCCAAACGGATGCTTGCCAAGCAGAAAAGACAAAACCTAGTGAAACAAACCCCCTCTATTCTCCAGCATACCTAAGAGGCTACTTCGAACAATAGGGAATTAGAACCGACAAGGAGACAGCAGGATCAACACAAGTACTGGCAAGCGAAGATGAGTCCTGTGGATTGGCGTGCAGAGTTTTTTGGTACGTTTTCCTTTAATAAAAGGTCCTGTATATGGATTAACGTCTTCCGTTTGGTATTATTGTTTCGGGTGCCTTATTAAAGGGCCTGCAAGGGCTTTGATACATGGATCAAAGAGCTGGTCTAGTTTCGTTTGCAAATGACTCCAGACCCTCCACAGATACTTTCCCAACAGCCAGCATCCAAACACAGCAGCCCATGTGCCCACCAAAGCAGCTGCTGGGAACGACTGCCCCACTGGTGTAAAACCGAACTGGCCACGCTCAACGTCTGCTGTGGCACAGCACGACAGGCGTCTTGCTCTATTAAGTGTCTAGAATGCTTGGCTGCAACGGTTGTTCCACCCGCTGACTTGACATGACAACCTGGCATGACAACCATTCCCACCCACCCCTTCACCAGTGGTGGAAGAATGGAAGCCGTAAAGGAGGCAGATGCCTTGGTATGATGCCAGATACCATGGTGATGGGCATGGTATAAATCCCCAGATAAAGTAAATTAGACACAGGTGCTGGAACTAGGGGTGCTGCCACACCCCCTGGCTTGAAGTAGTAATAACAACCCAAATACATGGTTTCTGCCTTCAGCATCCCTACTATTAAAATTGTTCCGGCACCACTGATTAGACAGAGGAAATAGCTAATAAGTCCTGTGTTTAAGGAGAGCTGATGGTGCTTTAACCCTGTGATGCTGAGAGCTGGGTTTGCTAATGAGCTGCTCACAACAGGCCTTTTGCCACAATGTGGGTAACGAACTCTCTGCCAGGGCTAGGATACACCCAGCAGGATGGGAAGACCAAGGCTCGCCAATATCCAGCCTCTGCCATTACAAGCGACGGATGCTCACTCGGTCCCAATAGCCGATTCCCACTGTGGGCCTCAGAAGGCAGTGACTGGACCCCACCGTCCCAGCTGATGTGCAAAGGGGTCAGTCCCAGCCCTGCGCTAGGGAGCGGTTCAACTCTTTGCACATGAGCGAGAGACATCGTGGCTAAGACCTTGTTTACATCGTTGGAATCAGGGCCAATTCCCGATCAATGGCCAGCCACCGAGGTAGCTCCAGAGTGGCCAAAGGGTGGCTTTGCCCATCTACAGCAGGGCTTTGCGCTGGTGCAGCTATGCCAGAGGCTGTACTCCCAAGCGTAGACAAGGCCTATAGATCATGGCCCCTCTCTAGCCTGAGAAACCATCAGCGTCCAAGCGCTTGCCCATCTTCCTTGCACACTCCAGTCCATAAAGGAGATGCTGGAGGCAGGGGGAAGCGCTCAGTAACTGGGCTGGGAGCGAGAGCCGTTAAAGACCAACCTTCCGGGCGCTGGATACAAGTGTGCTGGTTGTCACTCAGGAAGAAGCCGTCCCGGCAGTGGCATTCGTAGCTCCCCATCATGTTGACGCAGGTCTGTTGGCAGCCGCCGTTCCCCTCCGAGCACTCATCCAGATCTGCCAGGGCAAGCGAGAGAGGGAATGAGTGCGACGTTCACCACCACCACGCATTCACCCTCCGTCTAAGGACATCATCCCCTGCAGCATGGCGCTAGTACACCAGAGTACCACACTGTGCTCTAATCCCTAGGGACTCCCATAGGAGCTTGCAGTGGGACCTGCCAGTGCTTTAGATAAATGGCTGAAAGTCATCTCAGTATTATCAATGGGGAAACTGAGGCACATAGCGGTTACATGAGGGGCAGCATTTCTCAGTGGCTAGGGCACTGGGCTGGGAAACAGAACACCTGGGTTCTGTTCCTGACTCTGCCACTGACACACTGTGGAGCCTTGAATATGTCACTTCCTCTCTCTGTGCCTTGACTGACCCCTCTGTACAAATGGGGTCGGGGTACTTATCCTCTCGTGTAAAACACTGCAGAACAGGCACTAAGGATGTTAAAAGTAGGGTTAATTAAGCCTTACAACTCCTCTAGCAGATCTAATCCCTGCGCTATACATGAGGAAACTGAGGCACAGAGCGACGACATGATTTATCCAAGGTCACACAGGAAGTCTGTGGCAGACATGGAAAAAGAACCCAGGAGTCCTGACTCTCAGGTCCCTGTTCTAGCTGCAAGACACTACACTGGCTCTGAAGCTCAATTCCCTTCCTCTATGAATAGGTAAGTGGCCAGGTTTTTGTCTGCTAGACCCCTGGGAAGCCTCTCCCTGTACCTGACACACCTGCTGGGTGCTCAGCACTTCTGAAGAGCCAGACCATTTATTCACAGCCGGTGCCTGAATACGCACTATGGAGCCTCACTTTAGGTACTGGGTTTAAACATCGGAGCCGAAACGCCGCCCAGCCAACTTCTCTGGCCCTTTTACAGGCCTGAAAACGCCAGGCGTTTGTTACTCGGAGCAGGGAAACCTCAGCTCAGTGCTCGCTCGGAGAATTAATTCTGAAGAGACTCAAATCCCCAGCAGCCTCATCTCACCGCTGCCCTCTTGCCTATTTAGGTTTACTACAACGAAGCTCAAAGGCTGTTTGCTCGTCAAGCGCGTCTGGCTTAGCATCAGCCTGGCTGGAAGGGGAGCTTCAGCCTCCCTTGCTCCATACCCTGGCCAAGAGGCGAATTGCTTTCCCAACTGCCCTCTGGAGAATGGAGTCCCCTAGTGCCCCCAGCACAAGTACAGCATGACCAGACATTGTGGAAGTTTTACACACACACACACACACACACACACACACACACACACACACACACACACACACACACACACACACACACACACACACACACACCCTCCCCTGCAATGGCTAACAAAGGTCTGGTGAGCACCCCCGGTGATGCTGAGCTTGTGAACCGGATGTCTGACCACCATGACCCTCCCCCCACTCCAACTCATTGCAAACCATGGGTGAGGTTGTTCAAGCTGAACCAAGGCAGTTAGCCCCACGGTTCCCACTGACCCCCCGTGTCAGCGTTCAGCGTCTCAGCCTGTCCTCGCGACAGCCCACGAATTATTACCCAGACATGAACGGCAGCCGCTGGGGATGGCACATGAACCCAGCTGCCTCTGATACGGGCACAAGTGCACAAACACAATGGGCATGTGAAGAACTGCACTTCTGAACGATCCACACAGATGTTCTTCAGGCCACATGGCCTGACGGCAAGGATCAAAGATCTAGCCTGGGGTCAAAGATGAAGGCTGGCTCGATAGGAGACTGCAAGCCTTGCCTTGAACCTGCACTCGCTCATCCACTTCCTACCTGCAAGAAACGCAGTCCTTTAGGGGAAGGATGGCAATGGGACGAGCTGCAGGTAGAGAGGATTCCCATCATTATTTGTCTGCACTGCGATAGTACCTAGGAACACCAGTCAAAGATGAGGGCCCCATTGTGGTGGGCTCTGTACAGAAGAGTCACAAAGAGGACAGTCCCTGTCCCAGAGAACTCACTGTCTACCGTAGGTGCTTATCTGGGCTCCCTTACCTTAATATCTGAGTGCTTCACAATCTTGGATCTATTTCTCCTCCCATGCCCTGTGAGGTAAGGCAGGGCTGTTATGCTCATTGTACTGATGGGGAACCCAGGCACAGAGGGATACAGGGACTTGCCCGAGGTCACCCCAATCTAGGCGTCAGACAGGACGCAACAGGGCAACAAAACTGACTAGTGGGATGAGTAAGAGAAGATAGCAAAATGGACCCGGCTTAGTAGAAAGAGAGACATCTCAGTTGGCCCCTTGCCTATCCAAAAATCAACACACCGTTGCTTTGTCAGAGGGGAATCCTGGGATGTCTGAGTGCTCACCCTGTCATTCTGAACCTAACAGACCAGTAGCTGGGTCCATGGATGAGTGATTCCAGTATCTCCCGGCTCCTACAAATACAAAGTTCTGGGGACAGAATTCTCAGCCTATCTTGTCTCTGAGACACTAGGCCAGCTTATGGCAGGGGTTTGCGCTGGGTGCTGGACTGGGCTGCAGTGAGATCACAGAGTTGAAGATCCCCTTTGCCACCTTGGCCTGAAACGCTTAGATCTGTGGGGTGATGCAGCTTCTCCATCCAGGGATTTTTCCTGCCCTGGACCCTCTTCTAGAAAGCCGTGAAGAGCAGACGAGAAATGGGACCAGACCTCTCCCCTCCAAACATGCAAGGAAAGCATCAGGATGAGAGCGAGAGGCCCAGTGCCAAAGAAAACCTCCTGTGAACTCGAGCGTTTCAAACCCAGCAGCTAAGAGGAAAGCTGAGCCCCTTGGACATCGGCAGTGGGGCTGTGGATTGGACTCCGGAAAAGCTGGACTAGCAGGTTGATGACAGCGTGCGGAGTGAAGGAATTCCAGATCAGGCCCGAAAACCTGAGCAAATGTCTGAGCAACTAATTAAAATACACACACGCTCCCCCATACACAAGGATGCACAAAGTCCACACACGGCCTCTTACAGACAGAAACATATGTGCACACATGTACAGTCTCATGCCAAGACAAACATACATTCACACACGCACTCCTACAGAGACAGCTGGAAGGACACACACACACACACACACAGATATTTGAGGACACACACACTCTTACACAGAGACACACATAGGCACACACTCATGCTGAGACGCAGGGCAGGTGAGCAGGGTGACTGGTCAGCCTGAGCGACAGCTGCCAGGGGGCGCGTCACAGAGCTGTGCCGCTCCCCCACACCCCTTTTCCTCCCCTCACTGGCTGGCAGCCACTCTGGGCTGGCGCGGTGCTGAAAATGTTTTACGCTCCAGCTGGCAAAACACCGGGAGCCGGCCCTGCTGAGTCACACATGTACACAGCCACACAGTGTGACACCCTCCCCCATACCTGGACATGCAAGGCTCTCCTGGCAGGACAGTTACCCATGCTCAAACAGCTCCCTTTGTGCAATCCTTGCTGGCAGGCGCCAGGTACAATCATTTGCTTCTCCGAATGGAACAAAAGGGGGGAAACCCCCATGGGACGGTCATGAATGGCCAAGAGAAGCAGGAGAGAGGGGCTGCCCCCTGGAAGGGTTTCCTACAGGGGAGCATCCCATGGCATTCGCAGGACTCGCTATCTCCTGAAAACAGCACACAGTCCAAAGCCATGGCCAGTAATTTTCTTCCCCATCTTCAGGAGTTTGCTCTTCATTTGGCCTATCGGTACGGTGTCTCTCGCTGAAAGGGCACAGGTGCGAAACTGATTTTGAGAAAGAGATGTGAAGAGAGAATACACAAATGCTTGGCTTTCATCCAAGGATCCCAAAGCACTTCTCTGCTCATCCTTCCAGCACCCCTATGAAGGAGCTGCAGGAGGCCCTTCACCCACCACTGCAGTGCAGCCACCTCTGGGATGGAATCCACCAGCTTCTGACCAGAGCCAATTGAAACTACAGGGGAAATTCAACTCAGCAGAACATAAATTCCCGAGTTGGGATTTACCCAGGATATTGTGGCTAGCATCCCTACCTTTAGGGAAAGGACCAAGGGATCTGCCCTGTACCTCAGTTGTATGTACACTTAACCCAAAAGGCAGCAACCCAGTTTCTTTGCTGAGCAAAGAGAACCAGTTACACTTCTCAAGGCACACCTGCACTCTCCTGAGTCCCTGTTCCAACTTTGGCCAGCCGTCCAGGAGGGACTATGCACCAGCTGAGCATCACCCACTCCTGGCATGCTCCCCCCAGTCTCCCACACCAGACCTGGGCATGGAGTGGCACAGCCAGGGCCAGCGAGGAGCTCCCCTACACCAGGGGAATTCTCAGATGGATGGATACAGCTGCCTTCTGGTCCTTTCGCGCCACTCAGATTCAACTCAGAGTCCAGCCCAGCGCCTCCCGCCGCTAGGACTCAGCTCTGACACCCAAGGAGGAGCCCCACAGTCTGGGGCAACACTCCCACCCAGGTGTTCCAGGGACGTCTCTCAACTGTGCACTTCCAGCTTAACCTTGCTTAGCTTAGGAAACGTAACCCAGATCACAGCTCAAGGTGGCTTGACCCGGGGACTGAGCAAGGATAAAAGCCAGAGAGAAAAATAAAAGACCACATCACCTCAGAAAAGGCACTTGGATTTGTCCCCCCACATCATAATTTTCCTCACGGAAATGTTCTCTGCCCTTGCTGTTCCATGGACCAAGCTAGCTCCAGCCAGTTTTTCTGCAGTAGCCAGCTTGGAAAGCCAGCAGCAAGACAGAAAAGGGACGCCTTGTTCAATGGCAGGAGATTTGTTTCCTTAGCTTGAGTTTTTGTCCCAGCTGAGCCGCGTTCCGCACAGGCCAATAACTCCCTTCAAATCCCTCACTTATAACAAGAGCTTAACGTCCTGCGACTTCTCCTGCAAACTCGGCACAAGAACGACAAGGCACCAGCTCAAACCCAAGGGCTGAAATGAGGCTCCGCAGCCCCTAATGCCTGTTTCATTAAACGCAACGGAGACAGCCAGAAGCCAAAAGGCCGCTGTGGCGGGACGAGGGCTTGAATTCCTATCCTGGTTCAAAAGGTCACT